GAGAGAGAAGACGTGACGAGAGAGGCGAGAGGTCACCGGTAGTGGATGGCTTGCGCGTGCCACGACTGTGCGTCTATCGGCGACGGCTATCGTTGTTTTGTAGGAGGTGACGATAACGATGACGCGACATCGTCAGGAGGGAGTAATGCGCATCGTGTTCGCGAATTCCCCATGGCCGGGGACCGCCGTCGACGGGCAATTGGTCGCGGCAGTATCGCCGTGACCATCATCGCGCCGGTTATGGCCGCGAACAACGACGACGACGAGCACGTCGGCTGCGATTTTTCCATCTTGGAATCCACCTCCCGATAAATACGTCACGTGACGATCGCTCGTCCGACGCCTTAACTCGAAGACGCCTCGGTGATATCGCGACCACACGAGGACGACGGATTTACCCGTTAGTGCACGCCGCGGAAAATTGAACCGCAAAGAAAGAACTCATCCGTCGTCTCATCTTGTGATGAGTTTCACGCTCGATTGATTCACCGGGTAAGTCGATCGACATTGTACGGTGCGCCGAGATCTGCCCGATTTGCAGGACGACGGGCCATCGGAACCTTCTCCTTCGGAGAAACCAGGGACGCCCGGGGACGGGCGCTTTTGACAATGAGAGCGTGAATGTCGCCGGGTGAAAACGCGCGTCAGTTCCTCTCATTCAATTTTTCAGCGAGATGGCTCGTTCCCGAAATTAAAATTAGAAATGTAGGGCACGAGTGAGGGTATTAAACATTTCGCGGACACTTGCGAAGTGTCCTCTTTTAAAGACATCCTCCATTCTTAAAGAAAGACTTTTAAGCGACGTTCAAACCCGAGTCTCTATCCTGGGATATTTATATTCCAAATAAAATTCACAAGTCTGTCATTTTTCGAGTGTAACTTTTTTTTTTTAACCGGATACGATATTCTTGTTCTCTTAGATTAGCCGATTTCACGCTCGGCGACAAAATGAATATTCTCGCGAGGAGGCGCGAGTTCCAGCGCGTGAGATCCTTTCCCGCCCTTCTTTCGCTCCTCGCATTTCATTCACTCGCGGGGTGAGCCTTGACTACCGCCGCCGTCTCCCTCGCGATGGTTCTCCTTTTCATTTTCTTTCGGCGACGCGTCACGACGAGGTCACGTCTCGCCGAGGGAAGCATTCCGCTTTTTAAACGTGACGCGTTTAAGGCTCGTGCTCGCCTCGATTCATGGCACGTCCAACGACGACGAAAAGGAAACGGCCAGCGGCGCATTCGGTGTGTCCGCGAGATCTCTTTATTTTTTTTTTTTTCCCTCTCCATTTCAAGATCGACGACCATGTAAGATACGATGAATCGAGAGCGAGCAATTCTGTGGCGTATGGCAAATGGATTGGATGCATTTTGTCGGGAATATAAAATCGTCGTAAAAATGTCAAGATTCCGGCAGAATTTGCAACATTATATTGAATTGCTATTGGAAAAGTTGGAAACCGACTATCGGTCGTCGATCGCAGTCGCTTCTTATATAAGAGCCTCCGGCAAATCGAAATTACATAAGCCGCTCGAGATGCGAGGAGAAGGGGACGCGGGACTGAATTGTATTAACACCGATATAAGGAAAATAGTCGCTCGCGAATAGTACGCGATGATCGGCGTGAAGTGACAATAGTTGTCGCGCGGCGTGAGGCGAATGGAGAATACTCATTCCATCGCGGTATTGTTCGCGTAATTGGAATCGAGTGTGAAAATTGACCAATTCATTCTGGAAAACAAGAGAAAACGATTCCGCGTGATCGCGGAGTCTCTCTCTCTCTCTTTTATTAAAAAACGTGAGCGAGCGTTTATTATCGCCTTTAATATCTTTCGCGCGGACATTTTCAGGTCGAGCATGGGAAAAAATGGGACGGCTCGCACGATGACCACGTCGATTCTCGATATTTCTCTGAAACTCGGTAAACAAACAAACGGCCGTAACGCTCGGCCGGAACTTGACGTTATCGACGTCGGAACTGCGCACTCTGCGTCGCGCTCTCCGCCGAAGGCGGAAACGCCGGCGAGCGTCGCGGTCAGCGAAAAGGATAACAGGGCTCGAATCGAATCGAAGATCGAAGCGAGGCGTTGGCGTGAACCGGTTTGCGTGAATCGGTTAACGTCTGATCCGAGACTTTAGGCGTGACGCGTTTCCGCGGGATTTAGAAAGAGCTCGCCGGAAGAATCTCTCCTCTCTGCGCGAAAGAGACTTTCGAAGGAAGACCTTTTTTAGTCGACTTGGACTTTTTCAAAGAAAGTTTTCGAGCGAGCCATAACTCTGAATGATTAACGACGACAAGAAACTTTTGACAAGCGAAAGTCGAAATAAAAAAAAAAAAACGCCATTTCTTCGGTTAATTTAAAGTGAAATAGCGATTTGATTTAAAGTTTAATTAGAAAAGTTAAAATTCGGAGAAAGTAAAATTGTTATCTCTTTCTCTCTTTCACACACACACACACACACACACACACACACACACACACACACACACACACACACCTCACACGTACATAATACGTCAAGGGGAAATCGTCTCCAAATTGGTAGGTTCGCCAACGGATACGGTGACATCCGGTAACACCGGTAATGTCCTAGCCGTACGTTCGACGAAATGTCACGTCGAACGGATACCACGTAAACGTCATACGGTAACACGAGCCGAGGGCTTTCAAGCACAACGCCGTTGAATCGAGGGTGAGAAAATGAGTTCGTTAATGCGCTCTCCGGCGCGACCTTGCGCGCGGCGTAAGCGTTCCCTCTTCTCGCAAGTGGATTTCAACGTGCATACGTAAATACCTCTCTCTTCCCGGCCTGTCCGTTCGTGTCGTCGACTTCCCGTCCGGGAGTAAGACGCGTTTTCGATATATTTCGAAGCGTCACGATTTATGACACCGTGACGCAGGAGCAGAGGAGGGACGCGGGGAGGGGCACGCGTGCCCGAAGACGTCGCGACAAACGTGTCCATGTAATTATTGACCGTGCCGCTCCGCACTCTGCACGGTGCGGTGACCCACTTGCCGTTGACAACGCCTATTCTCTTCTGACCTACATCGTCACGTCGACGCTCGATCTGCTCACGTCCGCGCGATCTGTTTTCCATGCACGGGGAACATCCGACCGAACGACCGACCGACTTCGCTCTCGCTCCGCGAAACATCGGAAAACGCGCGCGACGCGCGAAACAATGATAATAGGGGGAAGGGGGGGGAGGAGGTGACTACGCACGACGTCACTTCGCTCGAACGCGAAACACAAAATCCCGATATTATCGATTCCTTTTATTACTCCGCGACGCGCCGTGTCCCACCGTGCGCGTCCGTTATTCGTGACTATCGAACGAGACGGCCGGGTAAAAAAGATCGCTATCGAATCTGGAAGTTTCGAATGGGTGCCCCGTTGACACACGCAGCTCCGCATTCGCGTGAGATGCATCCGGCGGATTATATAGATAGCGCGGAAAAGTGCGAGGCACGCCGGTCAACCGTCTTAACGTCGATTCGATTTAGTCTTGTTCTTGGTCTTCCTATACAGAGAGAGAATACAGAGAAAGATATTCTATCTTTCTGCTTCGGGAATAAAAAGAAATATGAAATTCCAAGCGTTCCTTCTTCTTCCTCCGAGAGAGACAATCTTCTTATAATCTCCGAATCTTTTCGAGCTTTTTGAAACTTTTAGCTTTAAATTCATTGAACTTTTCTTCTCTCTGTCTCTCGCTTCCGTGATTTTCACTTCGAGCGAAGCGTATTCCGCCCGTCTCGATCCTAGGTGCGCAT